CGGCTGGGCTGGGCAAGGCTCCCGCGTCCCGGGGCGGGCTGCGCTCCCGAGAGGCGAGGGGCTGAGCCAAGCTGCCTGCCTCCTGCGCTGAGAGATGTGTTTATGTACGTGTAGCTAGACACGTATCTGCGCGCGCGCACATATTTGGGATTTAATTGCTTTTGGACTGAAATACTTATACATATAATATAGTATATAGAGGTGAGACATAGATGTGTGTGTGCGCGCGCGCGTGTATTTCTTATATAAGTATAGCTATAAACATATATATACTTATACATATATAAGTATACTTACATATATGTGTGTGTGTGTGTGTATAAGTATATATATTTATAAGTATTTCAGTCAATTAAATTCCAGTTTAAAAACTAAAATACTTATACGCGTAATTTAGTATACAGAAGTGATATATACATTATATATCTATATCCCCACAAACACGTACTTCCATCCTCTATATACTATATTGTACGTATAAGTATTTCAGTCCAAAGGCAATTAAATTCCAATCCCCAAATATCTCAGCGCCGTCTCCATGTCTGCCAATATCCCCCTGCTCTATTTTAAACCAGGCTGGCATCCTACATGCAAGCCCCAGGCCTGGGAATTCAGATGCCCCCATTAAATTTGATGGGAGCCAGGAGGGGAGTGCGCTGGGTCCTGTGGCATTTCCAGAGAAGCGGTGACTCTAGGCAGGGGCAGATCCAAGATTTTGAACAGGAGGGAGCAGATGGTGAAGTGCATCATCACATATAGAGTAACACATTTTTCTCTGGTTCAGAAAGAAACCAGGAGCTTTACACAAAGCTAAGGGTCTAGGGCTGTATTATTCTGATTAACATTGAACAAAAAACAAAGGTAACTTCATTGGAATGAGTTAAAAAACAATCGGCAGGGCTGTGAAATGGGGGCTTCCTTAGCAGTTTCAGCTAAAAGCCTGTATTCTGCAGTTCTGCTGTTTGTCTTGACTGGTGGAACATCAAGACCAGTAAAGAGAAGAGAGGGGCATTAACATCTGTGGGATGAAGAGTTTAGAAGGGATCAGATAGATAGTGAGCCATGAAATCAAGTGATTCCTTCCATGCTGTCTGAACACAAATGCTGCTGCCACTGCCAGGCAGTTGATTTTTAACAGTGGATGGAGCAGGGGAGGGGGGCGTGCAAGTGCACCCTCCCCTCCCCTTAGTCCACCCCTGGTTAAAGGATTGGGGCAGGGATTCTCCACCTGGGTGCTGGGGCACGCTGGGGTGCTGCATGATCCTTTCAAGGGCACTAGGGGTTGCCGTGCAGTGTTAGGACTGCCATGTGTGCAAGCATGATCCACGAGATAAACCCAGAGACTTCAAATAGGAATTCATATTGTTAAAAACACTCTGACCTGTTGTGGTCTTTCTAAGTTCTTTGCAGCAGAAGAAAATGCTCTGTTGTTTTTCTGTTGTTCCAAAACAAAGAGTTATGAAAACTAAGCTGACATATTCTGAGAGGAGCCTCAAGTCCGATGCGGGGTGCCTTGAGTCTAAAAAGGTTGAGAACCACAAGATTAGGGAGAGGGATGGGTTTTGCTCTTCTCCTACAAGTGGCATCACTGTCGCTTTTATCTTTGAAGGATCTTGATCTTAAGGTTAACATCAAGAGAACTGAGTCAATTTTTTCTAGGCACCAAGTCTGCCAAACCCTGCCTGTTTTTCTCATTCCCTCTTCTATCACCCCCCAAGCCTCACCTATGTGAGGGAGGGTTTGCAGCCTAGATATGGAAAGACAGACTCTCCCTCCCAATTTTCTGACTAGATAAGCTATTCTGGCAAAAGAATTGGCAATATAACTGCATCTCCACCTAGGCTTTGGCTGTCCTACCTGGGTTGGTCAGGTGAATGATTTGTTTCGTGCTTCTGACAGATATGCTGGTAAAACTCTGTGTAGACCAAGCGACATTTGTGTCTAATTCTGTTTTGCCTTGTATCAGTGTAAGTCTAAAATAACTTGGTTCAATGAGACATTCCAGATTTATACTGGTATAACTGAGAGCAGCACTTGGACAATGTCCTGCTTCTACATCTGTGCTGCTAAGCAGACTTGCACATACTTGCCACAAAATAATCAGATTTCTCTCCCCGTTTGTTACATTGTATACCTCAGAGCTATGCTCTCATCTGAATGTTTTGAGAAGAAAATCAAAATTAAAAGGTCTAACGGTTGATGGGACTTGTTAGAGAAGATAAAAGAGCTGTTTCATAATAGCCTCCTGCTTGCCTGCAAGTTTTCCCCCTGATTTCCTCATGTTAGATGTAACAGAATATTGCTGTATGGACAGACCAGTACTAAAGCTGTCCTCCCTTAAGAAATCATCAGTTGCAAAGTAAAGGAGGAAAAAGAACTTCCAACAAGTGTGGCCTGAGATACTCAAAATAAATACCACATATAGTTTTGCCCCAGAAGAAAACATACATGAAATGAAAGAAGCAGTCATAGTCTTAATGCATAATTAATCCACACACGAGTCTGATAACCCACTGGAAAAATTGAGACCCATTTTGTCATATGGATGTTATGGACATGGTGCTATGTGGTACTGTGGATCTCCAGTGACTATTCTTTGGACCTCTTTGCTTGGAAATAAGCAGGGACAGATTTAGAAAGAAAAAGTAGTGCCTTGCCCGTATATTGTGTTCTATGACCGGAGACGACACAAGGAGATTCTGCTGCTTGTTCTAGAATATGCAGTCCTTCTTCTTCCTCGCATGCTTTGATCAGCAGTGACATGGTTGACAATACTGATTTTTTTTTTAATTGTCATTAAGCTTCAGATTTAATCCCTTAAATGCTGTATTTACCTAAATACAAGACAACCCTGAATTTAAGATGACCTCCTAATAATTAGATTCTGTATACAGAAAATGTATAAATGTATTATAATTTTCCATGTATGGGATCTAATGATTGGAGGATCATCTTAAATTAATTCCCTCATTACTGCAGGTGGTGGGGGCAGAGGTAATGAGAGGGGCAGTAATGAGGCAGATGTGGGGGTACAGACAGTGGGGGAGGCAGTACAGGGGGCACACGGTAGAGCAGGTGGCGGGAAGGCATTATGGGGGCAGGCAGTGTGGACATTTGGGGCAGACAGTGAGAGTTAGGCAGTTTGCTGTCTGCCCCCTGCAGCCTCAGACCTCCAGTCCCCCTTCCCCTGCCCTCTTCCCCCCTCCACGGTGCTTCTGTCCCCCACAGCCTCTGGTCCCTGTCTTCCCTTCCTCCCATCTCCTCTCCACTCCCCAAAGTCTCTATCTCCCTGCTTGCCCCTTCCTGGGGCACTGAGCATGGCTTCACTGTGACCCCATAGCAGCCACATGGAGCCAGCACTGCTGCTACAAAGCTGGGCTGGGACATGTGCTCCATGCTGCAGCAAGGATGGAGCCTGCCAGTGCAGAGCAAAGGTAAAGAGGAGTGCGGCAGAGGGATGAAGACTGGGGGCAGTGGGGGCTTGAGGCTGTGGAGGAGGAGTGACAAGGGGTGCAGAAGCAGCACAGGACAGGCAGCAGCTGCAGCTCCAGCCCCAGCCCAGAGCTAGGGCTAGAGCTGGAGCAGCTGTCTCCCCCTCCCCACCACCTCATACTCGATTGTAAGGTGAGGGGCATTCCCCCCATGTTGAATGGGGAAAAAACCCTCATCTTCTAATTGAGTAAAGACAGTCAGTTCCTTCCTCTCTCTTTCCCTCCCTCCTCCTCCCCACCCCCCCAATCTCTCAGCAGCTGTTCAGACTGTTGGCAAGTCTGTCTGTGCAAGTTTCATCAGGGTGGTAGATCCTGAATGTGGGCACACCTAAACTGGTTTACACCTGGCTTAATTCAGACTGCTGAGATGCTTGTAGAGTTGTCTCCACAGACAGAGCTTGCTGTGTCAGTTTGTACTTGATGCATATTGTCATTTTTCTCTCAAACATAGGGACTAAAGTCTTCTTGAAATCAAAGCTTCTGTTCTGGCAACCTTGACAAAAACAATCAAGCTCAGGAAAGTGGAGAGATTGTCCATTTTAACCTTTTAGAATAATTTGCCTTCTGGTATAACAGAGTGACTTGTGCAAGCTAGGAATCTGCACTCCCTTCCCTGAAGGCTCACTAGACAACCGCAGGATCTTCCCACTCAGAAGCCTTCCACCACCTCCTTTTAGTTGCAACTCACTTTCTCTGCACGAGGTTGACCTCCTGATCTCTGTCCAGCATTTCACCTCAGGAATGCTGTATTCATAGACATTGTTCATGGCCTTACATAACTAATTTCTGCCAGTTATGTAAGCCACAAGCAAAGTCTATGAAATGTTGGACCTCCTGAGGTCACTAAGGAGTCGTCTTGCTGTTTACTTTAGTAGGGATGAGATTTCACTCTGCCATCGAGAGCAATTCTGTCCTGTTACTCAAAATGTTATATTACCATCTCTAAAAGGTAAAGTAGAGAAGAACGTGGCTAAGGAAATGCTTTAAAAATCAATTAATAACAGTGGCCTGACTTGTAGGGATCACAGGACCGACCTCTCTTGTCAGGTTGCTTACCACCTTGTTACCTGAATTTGTCCAGTGGAGATACTTGAGGCTTAAGTAATGCTTGAAGAGTGCTTTGGGACACTGTAGTCCCCTGAATGTGCTATTTGTAGTTAGGTCAGGGTCCCCAGGCTTTTTTTTTTCTTGCTCATTTTTTTTTTACATGTATAAAAGAAAAAGAACAACAAACTGTACAAATGATGTGCTAATCCTTTTCAAGATGGCATTAACTATACTGATGACATAAATAAGTTGTTTGCCCATGTTGCAGAGCAATACTATGAGTTTATAAAAATCCGTCCAGCTTTACATCTTGTTCTGTTTTATCCCTCTCCTGGGTTCAGACATATTGAAAGGAGGAGTGACAGGCTGAGGAAAGAACCATGAGGCAGTCTTAAAGAAAAG